GAGTCCCTGAAGAGGAAGAAAATGGGCAAGGGTTGGAGAATATACTTGAATAAATGATGACAGAAAACTTTCCTAACTTGGTGAAAGAAGAAGGCATTCAAGTTCAAGAAGCACAAAAAACTCCAAGTAAGAAGAACCCAAACAGGCCCACACCAAGACATATAGTAATTAAAATGCCAAAAATTAAAGACAAAGAGAGAATCCTAAAGGCAGCAAGAGATAAGCAACAGTTTACCTACAAAGGAACCCCCATAAGGCTCTCAGCTGACTTCTCAACAGAAACACTACAGGCCAGAAGAGAATGGCATGAGGTAATCAAGGTCATGAAAAACAAGGATCTGAATCCAACAATACTCTATCCAGCAAGGCTATCATCCAAAATAGAAGGTCAAATAAAGAGCTTCCCAGACAAAAAAAGGCTAAGGGAATACATTAGCACTAAACCAGCACTGCAAGAAATGTTAAAAAAAAAAAAAAAAAAAAAACTGCTGTAATTAGTAGAAGAAATAGGAAAAATATAACCACACTAAACAAAAATGGCAATAAATAAGTACATATCAATTATCACCTTAAATGTGAATGGTTTGAATGCTCTGATAAAAAGACACAGAGTAGCTGACTGGATAAGAAAGCATGACTCACATATATGTTGTTTACAAGAGACCCACCTCACAACAAAAGACTCACATAGATTGAAAGTGAAGGGATGGAAAAAAATCTTTCAAGCAAATGGAAAGCAAAAAAGAAGCTGGGTAGCAATACTCATATCTGATGACGTACATTTCAAAATGAAAGCCACAACGAGAGACAAAGAAGGCCACTACATAATATTGAAAGGATCTATCCGACAGGAAGATATAACCTTGGTAAACATATATGCACCCAATATAGGAGCACCAAAATATATTAAAAATCTTCTGGAGGACTTCAAAGGAGAAATCAACAGCAATACAATCATAGCAGGGGCCTTCAACACCCCACTGACATCACTGGATAGATCCTCTAGACAAAAAAATTAACAAGGAAACACAGACTCTAAATGAAGCGCTAGATCAAATGGATTTAATAGATATCTACAGAGAATTACAGCCCAAAAGTGCAGAATTCACATTCTTCTCAAGTGCACATGGGACATTCTCAAAGATAGACCACATGTTAGGGCACAAACTAAGTCTCTACAAGTTCAAGAAGATTTAAATCATATCAAGCATCTTCTCAGATCACAATGGCATGCAACTACAAATCAATTGCAACAACATGCAAAGACATCTGAACACATGGAGGTTAAATAGCATGTTATTGAACAAGGAATGGGTTACCATGGAGATCAAGGAAGAAATTAAAAAATTCCTGGAAACCAATGAAAATGAACACAGAACAACACAAAAACTATGGGATGCAGCGAAAGCATTTCTGAGAGGTAAGTTCATAGCACTACAGGCCTACCTCAAGAAACAAGAAAAATTTCTAATAGAGTATCTAACCTCACAACTTAAAGAACTAGAAAGCAAACAAAAAGAAAACCCCAGAGCAAGTAGAAGGAAGGAAATAGTAAAAATCAGAGCAGAAATAAATGACATAGAGGCCAAAAAAACAATTCAAAGGATCAATGAAACAAAGAGCTGGTTTTTTGAAACGATAAACCAAGATTGATGGACTCTTAGCTAGACTCACCAAGAAACAAAGAGAGAGAACCCAAATACACAAAATCAGAAATGAAAGAGGAGAAATAATAACTACCACAGAAATACAGAGGATTGTTAACAAATATTATGAACAATTATACGGCAACAAATTCGACAAGCTAAGCAAAATGGACAAATTTCTAGAAACACATAGCCTCCCAAAACTGGACGGGGACAAGATAGAAAATTTGAACAAACCAATAAGAACGAAAGAATTTGAAGATGTAATCAAGACTCTCCCAGCAAACAAAAGCCCAGGCCCGGACGGCTTCATGGGGGAATTTTACCAAACATTCAAAGAAGAACTAATACCCATTCTCCTAAAACTATTTCAAAAAATTCAAAAAGAAGGAAGACTTCCAAACTCATTTTATGAGACCAGCATAATTCTAATTCCAAAACCAGAATAAGACACTACAAAAAAAGAAAACTACAGACCAATATCCCTGATGAACATAGATGCCAAAATCCTGAACAAAATACTAACAAATCAAATCCAGCAATACATCAAAAAAATTATTCACCATGACCAAGTAGGATTCATCCCAGGGATGCAAGGCTGGTACAATATTCACAAATCAATAAATGTGATACACCACATAAACAAAATGAAAGATAAAAATCATGACCATATCAATAGACACTAAAAAAGCATTCGACAAAATCCAGCACCCAGTTCTGATAAAAACACTCAGCAATGTGAGACTAGAGGAATCATATCTTGACATAATAAAGGCCATATATGAAAGACCTACAGCCAACATCATACTCAATGGGCAAAAATTAAAATCATTTCCCTTAAAGACAGGAACAAGACAAGGATACCTACTTTTGCCAGTATTATTTAACATAGTACTGGAAGTCTTAGACACAGCAATCAGACAAGAAGAAAAAATAAAAGAGATCCAAATTGGAAAGGAGGAAGTGAAACTGTCATTCGTAGATGACATGATACTATATGTACAAAACCCAAAGACTTCATCAAAAATGTACTAAACTTAATAAATGAATTTGGCAAAGTAGCAAGATACAAAATTAACATCAACAAATCAATGGCATTCTTATACACCAATGGTGAACTCACACAAAGAGAAACTAAGAAAACAATCCCATGTACCAATAAGGCAAAAAAATTAAAATACCTAGGAATAAACTTAACCAAAGAAATAAAGGACCTATTCACAGAAAACTACAGGTCATTGAAAAAAGAAGTAGAAGAAGATATAAAAAAGTGAAAGCACATACCTTGTTCATGGATTGGAAGAATTAACATCATTAAAATGTCCATATTACCCAAAGCAATCTATAGATTCAATGCAATCCCCATCAAAATATCAATGACATACTTCACAGAACTAGAACAAATACTTCAAAAGTTCATATGGAACCAAAAAAGCAATCTTGAAAAAGAACAAAGTAGGAGGGATCACATTACCAGATTTCAGGTTAAACTGCAAAGCTACTGTAATCAAAACACCCTGGTACTGGCACAAGAACAGGCAGATAGACCAATGGAACAGAACAGAGAACCCAGAAATGGACCCAAGGCAATATGCTCAATTAATATTTGACAAAGGTGGCAAGAGCATACAAAGGAATAAAGACAGCCTCATTAATAAATGGTGTTGGGAAAATTGGACAGCTACATGCAAAAAAAAATGAAACTACACCATCAACTTACACCATACACAAGAATAAAATCAAAATGAATAAAAGACTTAAATGCAACTCAGGAATCCATAAAAATCCTAGAAGAAACTGTAGGCAACAAAATTTCAGACATCATACGCAGCAGAAACAAGGCAAAATAAACAAAGGAGAAAATGAACACATAGGATTACATCATACTAAAAAGCTCCTGCACAGCAAAAGATACAATCATCAAAATGGCAACCCACTGTAGGGGAGAGCATAACTGCCAATGTTATATCAGATAAGGAGTTAATTTCCAAAATATATAGAGTGCTCATACAACTCAACAAAAGGAAGACAAAGAACCCAATTAAAAAATGGGCAGAGGAACTAAACAGACACCTCTCCAAACAGGACATACAAATGGCCAAGAGACATATGAAGAAATGCTCAACATCACTAATCATCAGAGAGACACAAATTAAAACAGCAATGAGGTATCACATCACACCTGTCAGAATGGCTGCCATCAACAAATCATCAAACAAGTGTTGGTGAGCGTGTGGAGAAAAGGGGACTCTAGTCCACTGTTGGTGGTAATGCAGACTGGTACAGCCACTATGGTGTTACCTCAAAAAATTAAAAACTGAACTTTCATTTGGCCCAGTGATCCCTCTTCTAGGGGACCATAAGAAGCCTGAAACACCAATCGGAAAGAATATATGTACCCCCATGTTCATAGAAGCACTATTTATAGCTAAGATCTAGAAACAGCCCAAATGTCCATTAGTAGACAAATGACGAATGGATAAAAAAGCAGTGGTACATATACACAATGGAATACTATGCAGCTATAAGAAAGATCTCTTATCCTTTGAGACGACATGAAGGGACCTGGAAAGTATCCTAAGTGAAACAAGCCAAACAGAGAAAGACAAGTATTATATGATCTCACTTATTTGTGGAACATAATGAACATAACAGTCTAAGAAAAGGGGTAGTCCCAGAGACGTGGAAGTGGGGAACAGACTGACAATCCCCCGAAGAGGGGGTGGTGGGGGAGAGATAAACCACAGAACTTATATGCATGTATGCATGAACAATGGACATAGACAACAAAGCTGGGGACAGGGTGAGGAGGGAGGGGGAGGGGGGAATCAGTGAGGGTAAAAGGAGAAACATTTGTAACAAAAATAAATTAATTAATTAAAATAAAATAAAATAAAATAATAAAGACTAAATGGAGTAGGCTGGTTTCTCCATAGCTCTTTATTTTTTGTTTTATTTTATTTTATTTTTGTTAATCCTTACCCAAGGATATTTTTCCATTGATGTTTAGTGGAGTAAAGGGAGTGGGGGGTGGGGGAGAGAAACATCAATGTGAGAGAGACACATTGATTGGTTGCCTCCCACATGACCCCCAACTCGGGTGGGGGACTGAACCTGCAACCCAGGTACAAGTCCTTGACTGGGAATTGAACCCAAGACCCTTCGGTCTGAGGGCCAACACTCTAACCACTACACCAAATGGGCCAGGGCTCTCCACAGCTCTTTAAACCAATTCGTTTAAGGCACAGGAGTGAATGTTACCAAATATAGAAATAGCTAGATTGACTGCATCCAATGAGAAAAACTAACTATGGTTAGGTCGCAACTAAGACAACACAGTAGCAGAAAGATATAGTAAGAAACTCATTTCACACCAGTCAGAAGTGTTTTATTTTTAAAAAAATAAAAATTAAAAATAAAACAAAACAAAAAAACCCTTAATCAGAGTCTGATTAAAGTCAATATTAACTCAAGCTCTCAAAAACCTATTGGGGAAAGCCAATAGGTGCACCAGAGAAAAGCAGGCAGCTGCTGGCAATTCTTTGGTGGAAAAGTAAGTTGCATACTTATGCAAGCTGCCCTAATGATGATCAAGCCCAAGTTATGTTTTTCAAAAATAGGTTTCGAGATCTACCAAAGAAACCATACAGACACCCTCATCAGTACAAAAATTTAACAATGAAGTTTAAGGATATAGGAGAAACCAAATATGACGATACACATGAATTATTTATAAAATAAACCTTTTGATCTCAGAAAACTAAAACGGGGAGACCTCATGAATGGTACCACACATAAAACAAAGGCTACAGCACATGGAGCCACAGACATCTTCCCCATGACTAAGCTATAAAATGACAGGATAGTATTAACATGTAGCGTTTCTTCTGGTTATCAGTCAATATGTATAAAATTAGGGTAAGTTTTTTCTACTCAATTATTATCATTTCTTCTTTTTCACCTTTTCCCTAATTTTCTCTAGCAACATTTTTCCTTTGGTTTGATCAGCTGAACTCAAAAGGTTTGGAACCTAAAGTGAGTATCAACTCATTGGAATAGCACTTGGGAAACGCAATCCTAGAAAAGGCAAATTGTAACTAAAGTGGTCTGACAAAGTAAAGAAGTCATCCTCAATGTAGTGTCCCTGATGGCAGTCTCTAGGCTAATGGCTCCTCTTATGGCTAGACCACATGGCCAAGCATGATAATGGTGTGCTCCCTGGTGAGGTACTGCAGAGATATGTGCACAAACACCCACCCATTGAAGCTTTCAATAAATACAAAGCATCATTTTAAACCATGTCAGTAGAATAAATAAAAGATGCTGCATTTCTATTGGCCTGTTTTGCCTCTTCAACTGGCTTGGAGTACTAGTTATGACACAGAAGATACAATAGTTAATTAGTTGCTACTCCAAGCTCTTTAGACTTCAGTACTTCCCGCTCTTCAAGCCTCAGCACCTTTTTTGCAGCAATAATGGTATTCTTCATTAGCATTGCCACTGTCATGGGACCAACACCCCCAGGCACTGGAGTGATGTAACTGGCTTTCTTCCGGACTCCTATATAGAAACAAGACAGGTAGACTGTTTTAATAATGACAAAAGACATGTATGTATTTCAATATATCATGGAAAAAGGATTTTTAAAAAAGCAATAATATACATAAATACCTTCATAAGCCTCAAACTCATAAAAATCACATCTAATTACTCAAGAGTAAAGGCTTTTGAACATACTAATAAAATAACATGCACATAATAAGCAGAGTTGTTCAATGAATATTTATACATCTAAATAACCTGTTATCTACCAGCCACACTTCCTTCCATATTAAGTCAACTTAAAAAAGAAACATCTCAGTGGGCTAACTGTATGGGAGGTGTACCTATACTATAAGCATTACCTCAATTAATACCTGCATACATTTTCTTAATTTTACCTTATTTATATAGTCTTATTTATTTATGCTGTTTGTCCAAAGTACCAAGCAATTTTCTGTAAAGAAGCAAGATATTTTAAACCCAATCTTTTTTTTTAGATTGGTTTGAGAGAGAAACATCAATTTATTTTTCCACTTCTATATGCATTCATTGGTTGCTTCTTGTATGTGCCCTGACCAGAGATCAAACCCAAAATCTTGGTGTATCCAGGGATGATGAGCTAACAAAATCAGCTACCAGGCCAAGGCTTTAATTCAATCTTTTTTTAAATCCTCACCCAAGGATATTTTTCCATTTATCTTCAGACAGAGAGAAAAACATCGATGTGAGAGAGACACATTGACTGGCTGCCTCCCACATGACCCGACCAGGGCCAGGACTGAACTGCAACTGAGGTACATGCCCTTGACTGGAATCGAACCTGAGACTCTTTGGTCCATGGGCCGACACTCTTAACCACTGAGCCAAACCAGCCAGAGCTCAATCTTAAAGAAAATACTTAGATACCTAGGCTTGAGTCTGACTGTTTTAACAGAAAGAGAATGATAGAAATAGAATTATCAGCATAAAATTCAGATAAACTTAATACCCTGAGAATTGAAAGGAGATATCTACAGTACTAGAAAAATGCCAAGTTTTCAAGAACATGGCTTTTTCCCAGACTGTTTTAACATTCCAGGTCTGGAATCTCTCCTTCTAATGTGAAAATGAGAAATCTGTAATACTTTTCAGGAGACTCAATGGTTTATGGAAATCACTTCATTAAATTTTCAGACTCGTTAAAAGTCTTGAAGTTGTTTTAATTAAGAAATAACCCTAAGGAAAAACAGTTCCCTGAAAAGTTTATACCTGGTGCCTACAATTTTATGATATAAACACCTAAAATAATTCTAGAATGTCTATAATTTTAAAAAAGATTTCTCTTGCTTAGCCATTGTGGCTCAGTGGTTGAGCATCAACCCATGTACCAAGAGGTCACCAGTTCGATTCCCGGTCAGGACACCGGCCCAGGCTGTGGGCCAGATCCCCAGTGTGGAGCACGCAGGAGGCAGCTGATTGCTGTTCTCTCTCATCAATGTTTCTATCTCTCTTCCTCTCCCTTCTTCTCTCCCTAAAATCAATAAAGAAGAATAAATAAATAAATAAATAAAAAAGATTTCTCTTGATTCTAATGGAAAGCATTTTAAATGGTATTACCAGAGTAACACAAGTTTAAAAGTTAAAGAAAAAGTAAATGATCAGTTCTAAGTGTCCATTAAAGGAAGTATTTCTTGATTTTATATTCTTTAAAAAGTATACAATTTACCTTCAAAATCCACATCTCCAACCAGCTTGGGTTTAGCAGTGATAGGATCCTGAATTCTATTTATTCCCACATCAATGACGGCTGCTCCTTCCTTGATCATATCTGCTGTGATCAAATTCGGAATGCCTGGAAATGAAGACAGGCATGATCACTTTAGTACTGAAAAGAAGATTCCAACTGTCAGATTCTTACCTAATTTCAATTTCAAGATACCTGGAAGAACAAATTAGTTTATTTTATAAAAACCTACAAGAATCATTAACCAAGGAAACATGTAAACTTCATATAGTAAATAGAAATCTTTTGAGGCTATGGAAATAACATTCATCCATCAAGTCTATAACAAAACAGAGAAACCACTATACCAACCACAACTCTTTCCTTAGCTCTGTAGGCAGCTCACAGTGTCATCCTAGGATAATGATGAATGGAATGGCAGTGAGGCAGGCAAATTCTAAGAGGTCCATCTTCTGACATCCTTCCGTCCCCCTCCCTGGTGTTCTTACCTGCAGCAGAGACCACAATATCTGCAAGAATTGTATGTTTCTTCAGCTGCTCTTTGGGAGTATATCGATGAGATATTGTAACAGTGGCATCACCTATGAGTTAAAAATTAAATGTCTTGATTTCTGAATCAAAGCTGGGATTGGACTAGGTGTCAACTAGGCAAACCAAATTCAACATCCCTGAAAAAATAATTTAATTCGTGTGCCACAGTTTCTGTACAGGCAATTGTCTTTTTTTTTTTTTTTTTTTAATTAATACTCAATTTCGTGTAACCTTTACCTGTTAGTTCTAGCTCTAACCTTTGGAGTCATATATAACTAGATTTATTCCTTATCCTATTTAACAGTTTTTCAAGAATTTTACCTTTTCTAAACAAAATATCACTAGAATTACTCAAGGTTTGTTTTTTTTAAGTGTGCTAAAAGATACCTAGAAGTATTTAATTTTGCCATTATTTCTGTTATAATCATGTAGGGTCATATTATGATAATCACACATGACAACCCTGATTTGAAGCTTTTTCTCAAATTAACAGAATTTGACATAATGACACATAACAGTCATATTAATTCAATCCTTTACAATAGTCTGTTTTTTTCTACCAAATAACATAGACCAGGATACTAACTTTGAACAAGAATTGCTTCTTAGCTACAACTATCAAAGCCATAACTGAAAATTTCCAATTGCCTACAACCATGATTACACTCCAAACTCAAATTTATTTCTGAGGCATATCCATTTCTGAACTAGTTCCATAATAAATGAATATAAATAAACTCTCAGGTGACACTGAGTACCAGCTTCTCCTACAAAGATTACACCCCAAATATCTGTTAACAAAATTACAATACAAACAAAAACACAATGTTTCCTTGGAAGTTTAACAAAGTTGACACTTCCAAACATCCACAGGACAGCCTCTGAAGGTTCTCCCATAAGGGACAAGGGGACATGCCTCTGAAAGCAGTTTGCTTACCTCCAGGACGTTCATGTGCCCCATCTGTGTGTAGCAACATTGCAATGGGCATGCCAACATTTTTTGACCTTCCAGCTACAACCACATTCTTCCCTATAGTTGGAATGCCTATTTAAAAAAAATTATTTGCATTAAAGGCAATGCCAGACTCTTAGGGCACCAAAGGGAAAGGAAGGCAGATGGCCTAGGACGTGAATCTAAATGTGATAATGAAGGAAGTCGCTAAACTTATTGCCTCATCAGTCAACTGGCCCTATCACTTAAAGGCTAAAGAAAATGTTTTGTAAGCTACAAAATGTTACATGAATGAGCACCACCACCACTACAAAAGTTTAAATTTCCTTCCCTGAGGTTTCTGGATTAAATAGCAAAAATAGTCATAGGTAACTGCTAGGAAGGCTCTAGGGAGTAGGACTAGAGGTCATGGGTGGGAGTGTTCACTCTTCGACCATATGAAAGTTCTACCTTTATAATACTAACACAGACATACAATTGTGGGATATACCTACCAGTTCGCTTGATTATTTCCCACACACCCCATGGGGTAGCCGGTAACATGGAATACTGGTCCAAACACATTCGCCCCACGTTAATTACATGAAAGCCATCAACGTCCTTGTCTGGAGAAACAGCATTGCAGATCTTTCTCTCATCTATGTGCTCTGAAAAAGAAATTGGAGCAGTGGCCTTTAGTCACTGTTGCATAGTTAGCACTGCTTGACTCCCACTTATCTGATTTGTTGCACAAACCTGTTCCCCTTCTACAACTTGCCTCTACTTGCCTCCAAGGTTTACTTCTTCCATCTGCACACACAGAACACATCAAGCAAACCAAATGCTAGTATCAAAGCCAATATCACCTTGTACAACTGCTGCCCTGCACTGTTCTTTGTATCAAGATCTCAATGCCAAATCAAGGAGTAATTGGGTTTTTTTTGGTACATGCCCCTGGCAGGAACCAAATCCAGAACTCTCTGGTTCGCAGGTTGATGCTCCAACCGCTGAGCAAAACCAGCCGGGGTGAGTAATTGGTATTCTGATGTGGGGGAGGAAAACTTATTTTTCCTCCTACCTTTGTAAATTCTTCAGGCTGGACTAATAATAAAATTAATATAAGACAAATTAATAGGAGAAAATGTCCAAATTTATTATGTATGTACATGCCAGGATTCCATAAGAATATGTGACTGGCCCTGGCCAGGTAGCTCAGTTGGTTAGAGTGTTGTCACCAAGGTTTTGGGTTCAATCCCCAGTCAGAGCACATACAAGAATCAACCAATGGCCCTGGCCGGTTTGGCTCAGCGGTTAGAGTGTCCGCCTGCGGTCCGGAGAGACCCGGGTTCGGTTCCCACTAAGGGCATGTACCTCGGTTGCAGTTTGTCCCCGGCCCTGGTTGGTCGTGCGGATGGCAGCCACTCGATGTGTCCCTTTCACATCGATGTTTCCCTCTCTCTCTCTTCCTCTCTCTCCCTCCCACTCTGTCTGTACAAAAAATGGAAAAATGTCCTCGAATGAGGGGAAAAAAAAAAAAAAAAAGAATCAACCAATGAATGCATAACTAAGTGGAACAACTAATCAAAGTTTCTTTCTCTCTCTCTCTCACAAATCAATTTTTTTTTTTTAAATGAGACCCAGGACAGATTGGGCAGTTATGGTTCACATGCCATCCTGAGCTGATAAGAAGTAGGGTTCTGGTTGGGGACTGCAAAGGGCAAGAAGATAAGTCACATGGAGATGGAAAAGCGAATGCTTGGTTAATAAATGTTTACTTTAACAATGGAACACAGAGACTTTGATAAAAGGGGCTTGCTAGGTTCCTCTCTGTCTATCACACCTAGTTCATATTAAACTATAGTTATCTGTGATGCTATCTCCCTTCCTGGAGCAGGTCCTCTATCTAAATTCTTTTAGGCAGTTAGGAGGAAGGAAAGTCAAAGGTTTCCCCTGAGTCTTTTGCTTCTTGAAAACAACCAGTTTAAAATAATCAATATCCACAAAGGCTTATTTTATGGTGGCAAATTCTGCTTCCCCACTCACTGAGTAGGTCTGCCCCATATCTAATAAAAAATTCACTCTCTTGACTTTTCCTCCACTTTGAGGCAAATTCACACAAGGGGCCAGCTGTATAAAGTAACCCACCTCTCCATTCCTCAGAAGTCATTTTAAATGTTGGGTTCCAAATCTTACCTGGAAGCGGCAGCTGAACAAGGAGGCCATCTACATTATCATCATTATTTAGCTTATTGATTAAATTCAACAGTTCTTCCTCTGAAATTGAAGCTGGTTTCACAATTGTCTCACTGTTGATTCCTATAAGAAAATTTCAAAGTTAAAAAATACTTAGGCACTTACTGAGTATTGCAATGTTGCCTGCCACAGTCTTCTACCATTGAGGTTTTTATCATCACAGCCACCCTGGTAGTTGAAAAGCTTGAATCAGCTCAAAAGGAACTTAAAACAGTAATGTCACACATATATACACTAGAGAATGTTAGCCTGACATTGTCTATATATTATTCTATGTAATCCTCATTAATCTCATTTTACGGACAGGACAGCTGAGGCACAGTGAAACTGAAACCAGGCAGCTAGTGGTGAAGTCAATCTTCCTGTTTCAAAGTCCCCATTTTTCCACTCTAGCCTGGTACCTCCCAATATCTTAGAAAACCATGGCTTCCTATTTTCAGAGGTTCTAAAGGTTTCCCAATGAAAAGGGCAGGACCCCTCAATCTTCTGTAATAAAGAATAGAGCATACTAATTGATTTTGAAAGAATGAAATAAAAGAGTAGAATAGAATAGAATAGAATAGAATAGAATAGAATAGAATAGAATAGAATAGAGTATTCCAAGGCCTCATGGTCCAGTAACACTGCCCAGCCACACCAGTATTGTCACAGCCTCTCAGAGGGCAGGGCACCTGCTCAGACTGCTGATCCACAGATGAGCCCACCTCTGGTCTACCCACACACAAAGTCTGTGGTGTAGGGAGACCTAAAACACAAATCTCCCATCACCCAGACTCATGCCTTCTGCATTCAAAACTCCTACCACTTCTAAACTGCAGAATTTAACTGGCTATGGAACCAACTGGTAAAGAAATCAAAATCTATTTCCCAGAAATCAGAATCATTCATTTCCTTCAGCTCTATACTGTGCCCTAGGCTACATCACTGAGTTCTCCTCAGTCTTGCCCCCAGTACTCTGCTGTCTTAAACTACAAGTGCTCAGAGACCTTAGTCAGATACTCTCATCATTGCTCAAGGAAAGCAGACGTAAACTGGGTTCAAAGCCACCTGTCCAATGTTAAAACTAAGAAACACAGGCAAAGATAAGATAAACTATATTCCTTCTGTCCCAGTCTATAAGCCTTCCCAGTAGATGCACCCTGATTTTTTCTGACAAAGTTTTGGCTATAGTTCAATCATATTAGCCTCCTCTACTTGGGTTTCTAATCAGAAAAAAAATAATAAATTACAATAGTGTTTGCCTCAGATAAGCCTCACTTTAAAAGCAGTCGAGATCTAGGACTTCCGGTCAAGATGGTAAATGCGGTATCACGTCCTCCCACAACCACATCAAAGTTACAACTAAACTACAGAACAACCATCATTCAAAACCGCCTGAAATCAAGCTGAATGGAAGTCGAGGGGCGGAGGCGCGAGGGGCGGAGGCGCGAGGGGCGGAGGCGCCAGGGGCGGAGGCGCCAGGGGCGGAGGCGCCAGGGGCGGAGGCGCCAGCAGCAGCAATGGCTGCAGTGGAGGTGGCGCAACGGGCTGGTCCCACACCCAAGTGTGGTGGATAAAAATCAGGAGAACACCTCGGCTGGGAAGGTCCTTCCTGAGGACTGAGGGGTCCCCGTCCCACACCAGGTGCCCCGCTCAGGGTTCCAGTGCCAGGAAGAGAAGTCCCCATAACTTCTGGCTGGAAAACAACCTGAGGTTCAGGGAGGCTGAGGCGGCTGGAACCCCAGGCAGCTCCTCTTAAAGGGCCAGCACACGAATTTATCGGACTCTCTCCCTCTAAGCTTGGAGGGGAGGCAGCTTGAGGGGCACCAGAGACATACAGGGAAGAACTGAGCTGTTTGGGACTGGAGCGAGGGCTGGAGAGGAGGCTTTCTCGGGGACAAACGTGCTGTAAGAGGCCTTTGTTCCTTTGGTGAGCCCTTCCCTGGGGCAGCAGACAGTCGCCATATCTGGGACTCCAGCAACCTGGCTCACACTGGTAGCCCCGCCCTGGTGACTCCCTGAGGCCCCGCCCCACCCCGCCCCACCCAACTTTCTAGCCCACCCAAGCTGTTGCCACTTGCTTAATCATAGGATTGGCCTGTCTTGGATCCTGCTTCAGGTTTTTCCTAAATTCTTTCAAACGAGCAGCATCTGGTCTCAGCGAGCCCCATACCTCTCATTAAGTAATACACTGAAACAAACACAGGGAGGCAGCCAAAATGAGGAGACAAAGAAACAGGTCCCAAATGAAAGAACAGAACAAAACCCCAAGAAAAGAACTAAGCGAAATGGAGATAAGCAACCTAACAGATGCTGCTTATAAGGATGCTCAATGAACTTAGTGAGAACCTCAGTGAACTTAGGGAGGGCCTCAAAAGCATAAAAAAGGACCAGTTAGAAATCATGGATGCACAGTTAGAATTGAAGAAGGCATTAACTGAAATAAAGAATAATTTACACCGCTTCAATAATAAAGTATGTAAATCCAAGGAACAAACCATCGATTTGGAATGTAAAGAAGCAAAAAATGCCCAATCAGAACAGCAAAAAGAAAAAAGAATAAAAAAAAATGAGGATAGTGTAAGGAGCCTCTGGGACAACTTCAAGCGTGCCAACATTCGCATCTTGGGGGTGCCAGAAGGAGAAGAGCGAGAACAAGAAATCGAAAACCTATTTGAAACAATAATGGCAGAAAACTTTCCTAACTTGGTGAAGGAAACAGACATACAAGTCCAGGAAGCACAGAGAGTTCCAAACAAGATGAACCCCAAGAGGCCCACACCAAGACACATCATCATCAAAATGCAAAAGGTTCAAGACAAAGAGAGAATCTTAAAAGCAGCAAGAGAAAGGCAGCTAGTTACCTACAAGGGAGTTCCCATTAGGCAGTCAGCTGATTTCTCAAAAGAAACTTTGCAGGCCAGAAGGGAGTGGCAAGAAATGTTCAGAGTGATGAAAAGCAAGAACTTACAACCAAGATTACTCTATCCTGAAAAGCTGTCATTTAGAATTGATGGCCGTATAAAAACTTTCCCAGACAAGAAAAAGTTAAAGGAGTTCATCACCACCAAACCGTTATTATATGAAATGTTGAAGGGTCTTTTTGAAGAAAAAGATAATATATATGAACAAACAAAATGGCAATGAATACATATCTATCAACAATGGAATCTACAAACAAAATGAACAGGTAGAACAGAAACATTCTCATAGATACAGAGAACATTTTGTTGGTTGCCAGTTGGGAGGGGGTTTGGGGGAATGGGTGAAAAGGTGAAGAGATTAAGAAGTACAAATTCATTGCTAGACTGACAAACCTCAAAGGGAAAGGGGTTGGGGGGGGGAGGGTGGTGGGAAGAAATAAACCAAAGAACTTATATGCATAACCAATGGACACAGACAATAGTGTGGGAAAAGGTGGGAGGGGGGCGGGAGTGGGGAGGAGGGGGTCAATGGGGGAAAAATGTGGAACATCTGTAATACATTTTACATCCAACAATAAAGATTTAAAAAAAAAAAGAAAATCAGTCAAGATCTGAGAGGGACACCTACCCACATCTGCAGCAGCCCTGGTTTTGTTGAGAACATAGGAATGACTTGCAGGATTCTCGCCAACCAGAACCACGCTCAGGTATGGTCGTTTGTTGCCTGATGCCACCCATTCTTCCACTTCCTGCCGCACTTCCTGCTTGATCTGCTGGGCAAGTTTTCTTCCAGAAATGACAACAGCTTCATTTCTGCAGAAGGCAACAGAGTCATAAAACCAAATACTAGTTGAATTTTTATAAAAAGTAAAGATAAGACTACAAAAGGTATTATTATATACCCAAAATTTCGAGGGGTAGGAAGAGGAGGAATTGAAGGAAAGTGGTCAAAAGATACAAACTTTCAGTTATAAGATAAGTAAGTACCAGGAATGCAATGCACACATGATAACTATAGCTAACACTGCTTCATGATATACAGGAAAGTTGTTAACAGAGTATATCCTGAGCATTCTTATCACAGCCCCGGCCGGTTTGGCTCAACGGTTAGAGCGTTGGTCTGCAGTCCAGAGAGACCTGGGTTTGGTTCCCACTAAGGGCACGTACCTCGAGTGCAGTTTGTCCCCGGCCCTGGTTGGGTCGTGTGGGTGATAACCACTCGATGTGTCTCTTTCACATCAATGTTTCTTTCTCTCTCTCCTTCCCATTCTATCTGAACAAAAAATGGGAAAATGTCCTTGGGTGAGAATAAAAAAAAAAAAAAGAATTCTCATCACAAGGAAAAACATTTTTTTCTTTATACTGTATCTGTATGACTTGATGGATGATAACTAAACCTATTGTTGGAATCATTTCACAATATAGGCAAGTCAAACCATCGTGCTGTATACTTAAACTTATACAGTAGTGTATGTCAATTATTTCTCAATAGCATAGGGAAAAAATATTCAAAACTTAAAGTTTAAATTGAAACATGGTGCCTAATCTGAGGAACAAGTGAAATCGGAACAAGTTCAAAGTGGGAAATATGTATCCAGCTACATGTTTAGGAGGATAAAGTTGACTGAAACAATTGCTATCATTAATCTAAAGCTCAGAGAGTTTAAGTAATTGACAGCTAGTACTTGGCAAAGCTGGGTCTCATACCCAGCTCTGTCTGAATCCAGAGTCTGGGCCCTTAATGCCTCAGCATCCTGCCTCCTGGTCATTCACAAATTGATAAGCACAAACAAAAACAAAACAAAACAAAAAGCATTGTTTTAATTTGAATTGTTTTATTGGACCCCCTCACCACTATGAGGTTAGTTTTTCCTATATGCTAATATACCACTTGTAGTTTGTATTTTGCCTGTGTTGTTAGCATCTAGTTATATGGCAGAGAGAAGAACAGAGTCATGTTGGAAGAAAAACTACTGGGGTGGGGGGGAGCAATGAGGAAACTCAGGATCTGGAGGAACCTCCAGTTACCAAAACCATGTTCAGATCTTTGAAAGGCTATCTCTTCCCAGTAAGAACTGGTTAGACAGTTCTTCCTGGGTTCCAAGATGTAAGATTCCTGGTTTATTTGCACACAAATCCTTACAATAAAGTTCCCATTAAAGTAGGATAAGCATCTGTTCCTTAAGCAAAAAGATGCCACTGAAAACAAGTCTGTCCCTTTAGATTTGTGTCCTCAGTGTCATGAGGAATGCTCCAACCTCAAGACCAATAAAACAGCCCTGGACGATTTTGCTCAGTGGTTAGAGCATCGGCCTGCGGTCCAGAGAGACCCGAGTTCGGTTCCCGCTAAGGGCACGTACCTCAGTTGCAGTTTGTCCCCGGCCCTGGTTGGGTCATGTGTGTGGCAACCACTCGATGTGTCCTTTTCACGTCGATGTTTCTCTCTCTTCCTCTCTCTCTCTCCCACTCTATCTGAACCAAAAAATGGAAAAAATGTCCTTGGGTGAGGATAAAAAAAAAGACCAATGAAACACAATTGCTTGAAATATTAAAACAATCTCCCTGGTCAGTTTGGCTCATCGATAAGAGCATTAACCCATGGACCAAAGAGTCCTGGGTTCGATTCCAGTCAAGGGCACATACCTTGGTTGAGGTTCGGTCCCTGGTCCTGGTTAGGGTCATGCAGGGGGCAACCAATCAATGTCTCTTTCACATTAATGTTTCTCTCTCTCTCTCTCTCTCTTTCTTCCCCTCTCCCCCACCCCCTTCCCACTCTATATAAAGATAAATGGAAAAATATCCTCAGGTGAGGATTAAAAATAATAATAATAATAAAACAATCTATTTCCCTTGTTTGGCTGGTGTGGCTCAGTGGATTGAGCATCATCCCATGGACTGAGAGGTCCCTGTTCGATTCCTGGTCAGAGCACATGCCAGGGTTGTGGACACTTGATCCCCAGTAGGGGGCATACAGGAGGCAGCCAATTGATGCTGCTCTCTCACATCGATGTTTCTATCTCGCCTTTCCCCTCAAAAAAAAAAAAAAATCAATAAACACCTATTTACAAATAAATAAATAAAACAATCTATTTCCCGTCATGGTACATATTTAATTCTCAAGAATAACATCAAGGTACTGGATGTCTTGTATGGTCAGATATGATTAATTCTCAAGGCCTGCTAATTAAAATAGAATTTTAAAGTTTTAACAGTCTTTAAGCCTTCAAGGTCTGCTTTTTATTTTCATTCTGAATAAATAACTACTTTTAACTAAATCTCAATGTCTTAGATACAATGCCTTAATTTTATATCTAACCCTTGTATTAATCTGTATTTGTGTCTTGTGAGTTATTAAGAGGATATAATTTTATAGCAAACCAAATACTGTTTCCCAGATTTTATGTAATAGGCTAACATAGTACAACATAATAATAGCATTTCATATATACCCATGGTACATTAAGAAACTGAAAACATGTTAATATTACAAATCCATTTCAGCATTAGAGTTGATGGGGACTTCATTAAAAGGGCTTTGCTGATATAAATACCCCTGGCAACATGCCTGATCTATATTAGTACTAGGAATATCCGCCTCAGGCCAGACAGACAACTTACAGAGGGCTTAAGACACTCATTTGTATTAAATAAAATAACAGATAAAAACCTCCAGACATTCTTTTAAAATTAATTTCTTATTCTCTTTTGATTATATTTATATTCACACATATATACATATGTATCTTCAATCTTAAAAACATACATACATATGTATCCTTAATATGTAATAGATATATTTATATATTTGTACACTCATAAGGATATATATAGATATACATATATATTCAGTGAGAAGGACTTAGCTTGCACTTCATTAAAAAGTTCCTTTTGAAAGCAGTAAACTTAGAGAAAATGGCAGCCACATATTTGGGCTAAGAATGATACACTAAAGTTAAGGACATAGGGTACTGGGAGAACCCAGTGTTCCAAGTCTCAAGCAGGTTCTGGATGTTATGTCAACTTGCTTTAAAAAAAAAAAAAAAAAAAGTGAACCAACAATAAGAAACAAACAAACAAAAAGTGTCACAATGCTCTATGCCTGAATATTTCTCATAATGTAACCGTTTTAGCCCTCCTCTGAATACCACAACTCAGGAAAATGTGAAACACAGTCCTGTAAGTGAGTCATTACTGAACTTCCCGTAATCTTTTTTTTTTTTGCCAAAGGGATAAAGTTACTGCTACCCAAAAATAAAAAGAAATACAGACTCATCTCAGTTCCACAGGAAATCCAAATACAATATTAGCTAATACTTATTTCACAATTATGTGCTTTCACAGATGTGTTCAAAAATTTTTCCATTAAAATTATGAACTAGAAAGAAGTCATGAGGCTTATTCAAATACAAAACTAAAATCTAAGTCAGTAGCAGCTTCACTTTCCTACTTCAATAGCTTACAATACTGTAATTTTTCAAGAAAAATTAACATCAGGTGCATTTTACAATTTATGATCAGGTTATTTTAGAAAGAGTTCTTTTTATCCACTAATTAATGGAACCAGAAATGAGCGAAGAAAAACACAAAGCAGGGTAGAACTAACATCTATTAAACACTGGATATTTTGCTAAGAGTTTTGCATACATTACTCTCAGTTACCTTGGGGCTATTATAATGACCCTGTTATGCAGAAGAGAAAACTGAGGACAGTAGAAACAAGCTACAAATGCAAACATCTGCCTCTAAAGTCCATTTTTCTCTATACCCCACTGTATGCTAGACTACAATATTCTCTCTCTAACCATGAGTTTATGTTCCTGAAACTCTCACACCAACTCCCCAACCCCCCCCCCAAAAGGAATATATGTAGACTTATATTTTTTAAATAGTTTTACCAGTCAGCAGTAATCAAAGCAATACAATAGAACCATAAATACCAAATGGAGCATTGCCCTCAGAGAACGTGGAAGTCTACTTGTTCATTCAGAAACGCAAGTGAAAGGAGGGCAATTGTTACTGGAGGGCAAGCAACCTGCAGTTTCAGTTCGGTAGGTATTGAATTAGAGGATCTTTATAAATCCTTTTCAATCATCAAAGATACTGGTCCATGCAGCCAGAACTCAGGAAGGGAGTAAGAGGGAGAACAGACAGAAATGAGAGATGGGGCTAGAGAGGTGGGTCAGGGTCAGACCAAGAAAAGCCTTGAGTGTCCCCTCCCAAGTCTTCTTTCAAGAACACATTAATCCACATTCTGCGCTTCTACAGCACCTTGGCAATGTCTCTAATAACATTTTTACACCGAGAGGAAATTACGCACGTATGTGTTCTGCCCCTTGACAGATGCACTAAAGACAGAATAGTTTTTATCACCTCTGAATTTGCACAGCCCAGTACAGTGCCTATATGAAAGAAAGGGCTGCTGTAACATACAAGGTTTAAGACTCTGGCAATGCAACGGCTCCAAAAATGGAATGAAGAGTGCACAAATTTAGGGAGAGAAATCACAGCCCCGGAAAAGATTCTTCAATCTAGGTTTAAGAACGAGTTTGAGGTCCAGAAAAATCAGGGAAAAATTACTACTTCCCTATGGAAACACAAACAGAGCTCCCCTTCTCCTCCTCCCGGGTATTTGTCACCTCAATTGACTCTGCCTGGCACTGACCAGCTCTTGGATGCGCTATAATCAAAGCTCTGGTGACCACAGCACATTTATTCTCATGGGAGAGAAAGGGGCGGCTGAAGAGCAGCGCGAGGCACACCCACCTCCTGGAGGAGCCGGGATGTGCGGGTGCCCCGGGAGCCCGGTAGCTCAGGGATTTCATCAGACTGCACCAACCCCCTGCGCCGCTAGGGTCCCAGGAAAGGATGATCGCTGAAGGTTGCCCATTCTGAATCTTTCCCAGCGATCACCAAAGCAGCTCGTCTCCTCTGCTTTCCCCTAGACGGATCTCGGCATCACCTACAAGGGCAGCCGGCAGGTTCCACGCGGTAACTTCCGTGTGTCCCCGAAAACTGGGGCGCCCCAGAACCCGCCAGCCTTGGCTCGGCACCGGGGGCCCCATCCCGCCGGAGGATTGGTGGATTGGCCCGGGGAACGGATTGGCCCGGGGAAAGGTCGACACCCCAAGCCTGCGGGAGATCGGCTCCCTCTGAAAGGCGGTCACCTGGTAACAGCCCACCCCGCCAGCAAGGACCCAGGTCGCTGACTGCGGCTGCGCTCGGCTGCCACGTTGCCCGCCATCCTCCTCTCGGTGGCCACAACGGCCCCGGGCAGAGATGCTCAGGAAGTCCCTCAGAGTCCCTCTGGAGCCCAGGCGGCCCCCCACACTCGGCTCCCCTCGGCTTTCTCGGCTCCGCTCGGCTTTCGGCGCTGACCCAGTTCCCAGCTCTCTTACCGAATTGCCGAGAAGTGGAGGGGACGATGACCGAAGCAGCAATTCTGTGCGGGCCGGAGCAGCCGGGTGGCCAACGTGGACACGAAAGGAGAAGCAGCCATGGCCCACACCGGCGACTGTGCCCAAAGAGAAGCGCGCGCTCTGGCAGCGCGGTTATACCGCTGGCGCGTGTCAGGCCCCGCCTCTCGCCCGCACCCATTGGCCCCTGTCCAGTAAAGCTGTGCTCTTGATTGGAGCAAGAAGAGCCTGGAGCGAGGCCCGCCCCTGCCAGACAGCAGCTTGTCACCCAAGCCCAGCCAACCCAAGCGTTTGTTTATTCGTTGTTTGAACAAATAAATACCTCAGCGCCTAGTGTGTGCCAGTCACTGTAAAGAGTGGCTAAAAAGATAGTCGGATAAAGTGCCAACTAACAAATGTAAAAGACTAATGGAGTTAGAAAATAACTATTTTGGCAAACCATTGATTCAGAATCTCCAATGGCTGTCAACACAATTGGGTGAAGCTGAATTTGGAACAAGATATTCACATATAGGGTTCCCAGATCCTGCAAATAAAAATACAAGATGCATCTGAAACTAATACAAAATAAAATTGAAGCCCTGGCCGGTTTGGCTCAGCGGTTAGAGCGTCAGCCTGCGGTCCCGAGAGACCCGGGTTCAGTTCCCACTAAGGGCAAGTACCTCAGTTGCAGTTTGTCACCGGCCCTGGTTGAGTTGTGCGGGTGGCAACTACTAGATGTGTCCCTTTCACGTCGATGTATCTCTTTCTCTCCCTCCCACTCTACCTGAACAAAATATAAAAAAAAAAAAAATGTCCTCGGGTGAGGATAAAAATAAAATAAAATAAAATTGAATGTAAACTGTAATTGAAAGATAAAATTAAAAATAAAGTATATCTTATTTGCTCAAAAAATACACGACACACACTTAAATTTGAATTTTCGATAAATAATTTGGGAGGAGGGTCATACACTAAAAAAAAGTATTTGTTAGTTTTCTGAAATTCAAATTAAATTGGGCTTCTTGTATTTTACCTGGTTGCCCATTTGCACAGTATCAAAGTATCTCTTCCATAAAATACTTATTAAAAGCAAGGATAAATGTACAGTCCAGAAACCTACAATCATCACTTTAAACAAGTGATCAAAGTAACACCACTAGTAATGGGACAGATATATATTGTATGCCCCCAGATACGATGCAGTGAGGAGGACACATCACTTCATAACTTTTAACAAGTCTGATAATTGAATGAAGTGATTTTCCCAAACCATTGAGTCCCCTAAAAAATGTTACTGATTTTTCATTTATACCCTGAGAGATGATAGACCTGAAATGTTAAAAGAATCCAGAAGAGAGAGGATATTTCTGAAATTTTGAAACATACTAGTAGATCTTAATCTAATCCCCAGAAACTATCAGACAAGCCCAAACAAGGAGACATTCGATAAGAAAAGTAGCCTGTACTCTTTGAAAATGTCAAAGTCATGAAAAACAAAGAATGAGGAACTATTCTAGATTAAAGGAGTCTAGACATGACAATGTAATGTATGATTTCTGAACCAAATTTTTATTCTTTCTCTTTCTTTCATTCTTCTCTCTCTCTTTCTTTTGCTATAAAGGACATTATAGGACAATTATCAAAATATTAATAAGGTCTGTAGATCAACTAATAGCATGGTATCAGTGTTAATTTCCTGATTTAGCTATTTAAATTGTAGTTATATAAGCAAATGTATTAGCTTTTAGCGATGAAGGGACATCACATCTGCAATTTACTTTCAAATGGTTCCAAAAATATATATAAAATAAATATTAGTTTGTTAAGGCTGCCATAACAAATACCACAGATGGTTAGCTTAAAGAACAGAAATTTATTTTCTCCCAGTTCTGTAGGCTGGTTTGGTTTCTCTTGAGACCTCTCTCCTTGACTTATATATGGCTGCCCTCTTGCTGTCCTCACATGGCCTTTTGTCTGTGGCAGCACACTTGTGGTGTCCTTTTCTGTATGTTTTAATCTCTTTTATAGGACACCAGTCAGATTGAATTAGGACCCACTCTTAAGACCTCATTGTAACTTTTAAACTTTTTTAAGGCTCTATTTTCAAATATAGTCACATTCTAAGGTACTTGGGGTTACAGCTCCAAGATATGAATTGGGAAGGGACATAATGTAATCAAAACACTGCATATACATAAAGAGGAACTGATAAAGCATATGGCAAATGTAACACACTCACAACTGGGTAATTGAGTGAAGGACATACAAGTGACTTCCGGTCAAGATGGCGGCATAGGTAAAAGCCGTATTGCGTCCTCCCACAACCACATCAAAATTACAACTACAACACAACCATCATTCAGAACCGCCTGAAATCGAGCTAAATGGAAGTCCTATAATTACAAAATTAAAGAAGCAGCCACATCAAGACTGGAGGGAGAGGCTGGTCCCACACCCACGTGTGGCAGATAAAAATCAGGAGGGTTACCTCGGCTGGGAAAGTCCTCCCGGAGGAGTGAGGGGTTTCTGTCCCACACCAAGCGCCCAGCTCAGGGTTCCAATGCCAAGAAAAGTCCCCATAACTTCTGGCTGGAAAACCCAGCAGGAACTGAGGCAGAGGGAGGCTGAGGCTGCTGAAGTCCCAGACAGCTCCTCCTAAAGGGCCAGAGCATGGACTTACTCAGACTTGCTCCCTCTAAGCTCGGAGGGGAGGCAGCTTGAGGGGCCCCAGAGACATACAGGGAAGAATTGGGCTGTTTGGCCTCGGAGCAAGGGCTGGAGAGGCAGCTTTCTCCTGGACAGACTTGCTGGCGGAAGCTGATGTTCCTTTGGTGAGCCCTTCCCTGGTCGGCAGACGGCTGCCATATCCAGGACTCCATCTCCCTGGCTCACACTGTTTGCCCCGCCCTGATGATTCCCTGAGGCCCCGCCCCACCCAACGTTTGGGCCCACCCAAGCTGTTTCCAAAGGCTTTACCATAGGATTGGCCTGTCTTGAATCCTGCTTTAGAGTTTCCTAAAATCTCTCAAACAAGCAGCTTCTGGTCTCAGTGAGCCCTATACTTCTCGTTAAGTGGCCCCAGGCTTGACACTAGAAGCCTTGGTTCACAAGGTAACTTTTCCTGGGCATCTCCAAGGCCAGCACTTTTGCAGATCACTTTGTAGCTTATGCCAGGTGGCCCCAGGTAGAACACAGGCGGTGGCTGACCCTGCCCCAGAGCCAGCACACCCAGTGGACAGCTTCAGACCACATTGATACACCATCACCCAACCACCTCCACAAGTGACACATTCAGTGAGTGGACTCAGTGGGTACCAGAGCCCTGCTAAAGTAAGTCTTGCTCTGTGTGGTGGGCCCCTACACAGCTGGTCCTTCAAGGGAGTCAGAGGCCAGTGGGTCAGTGGGCACAGCCAATCCTTGCAGCTAATCAGCCTGAGTAAATCCCTCCCATTAATGTGCCAACAGCAATCAAGACTCAATTACAACAGAAGAGTGTACAGTCCACACTAGGGGTATACCTCAAGGGCCCAGCTGGGATGATCAGGGAGACTGTGCCTCTGGATCCTACAGGACACCTACAATAATAGGCCACCCTACAAAGCCTAGGAGACATAGCAACTCTACCTAATACATAGAAACAAACACAGGGAAGCAGCCAAAATGAGGAGACAAAGAAAAATGTCCCAAATGAAAGCAAAGAACAATACTCCAGGAAAAAAATTAAACAAAATGGAGATAAGCAATCAATCAGATGCAGAGTTCAAAACACAGGTTATAAGGTTCCTCAAGGAACTTGGTGAGACATTAAAGGAACTTAGTGAGACCTTCAGGGAACTTAAGGAGACCTTCAAAGAACTTAGTGAGAACATCAACAACATCAAAAAGGACCAGTTAGGCCCGGCCAGTGTGGCTTAGTAGTTGAGCATTGACCCATGCACCAAGAGGTTGCCAGTAAGATCCCCTGTCAGGGCACATGCCCAGGTTGTAGGCCAAATCCCCAATAGGAGATGTGCAGCCAGTCAATGTTCTCTCTCATCAATGTTTCTCTTTCTCTCTCTAAAATCAATAAAGAAATAAAAAAAGGACAAGTCAGAAATGAAGGATGCACTAACTGAAATAAAGAATAATTTACAGGGAACCAATGGTAGAGTAGGTAAAACCAAAAAGCAAACCATTGATTTGGAAAATAAGGAGGAAAAAACACCCAATCAGAGCAGCAAAAAGAAAAAAAAAATCCAAAAAAATGAGGATAGTGTAAGGAGCCTCTGGGACAACTTCAAGCATGCCAACAGTTGCATCATGGGGGTGCCAGAAGGAGGAGAGAACAATAAATTGAAAACCTATTTGAAACAATAATGACAGAAAACTTCCCTAACTTGGTGAAAAAAACAGACATACAAGTCCAGGAAGCACAGAGAATCTCAAACAAGATTAACCCAAAGGTTCAAGACAAAGAGAGAATCTTAAAAGCAGCAAGAGAAATGCAGTTTTTTTTTTACCTACAAAGGAGCTCCCATAAGACTGTCAGGTGATTTCTCAAAAAAAACTTTGCAGGCCAGAAAGGAGTGGCAAGAGATATTTAAGGTGATGAAAAACAACGACCTACAACCAAGATTACTCTATCCTGCAAAGCTATCATTTAGAATCGATGGACTTATCAAGAGTTTCCCAGACAAAAAAAACTAAGGGAGTTCATCAGCACCAAACCAGTATTATATGAAATGTTGAAGGGTCTTCTTGAAGGAGAAGAAGAACAAAAATATGAACAATAAAATAGCAATAAATACATATCTATCAACGATTGAATCTACAAACAAAGTGAGCAAGCAGAACAAAAATAGACTCATAGACACAGAGAACTTTTTGTTGCTTGCCAGATGGGTGGGGCCTGGGGGAAGAAGTGAAAAAGATGAAGGAATTAAGAAGTACAAATTTGTTGTTAGACTGATGAACCTCAAAAAGAAGGGGGCAGGGAGGGTGGGATAAGATAAATCAAAGAACTTCTATGCATATATGCATAACCAATGGACACCAACAATAGTGTGGGAAAGGTAGGAGAGGGACAGGATTGCTACTTTTCTGTCTAAAATTTTTTAAATAATAAAGAAAAAGATCTGTCCTCGCCTTGGCCAGTCTGGCT